AGTGCATGATGGGCGTTTAGACTTCGTGCAGTGTTGAAGACAATATCGAGCCTCTTGTTCTATCTTGACGAAGCGACGGAAAACGTGGTCCACTCCCTTACAACCACATGTACTCAGATTCGTTTCTGTTGAAAGGCTCTCGAAACAACAAACTCTCCCTTCGGAGTATTGGTGATATGACTCAAATTTCGTAGCGTTAATAGAATTACTCGGAGTCTCTTAACCTCCGTTGTCAAATATGCGGACACCAATCACGATGCGCTGTGAATCGTGGCTTTGAAGATTCTCAACTTAATCTTCATTTGCACCATAGCGCATTCTTACTTGTGTGAGTTCGAGACACCCTACATTAGTTTCTGGGCAGAAAAGGGTCCCGTGTTTTGACGTAAGTGGACGGCGGAGAGAATATATGCATTCTGCTAACTGCCGTTTCTGTTTTCACTCAACTTTTTTTAAATTTTATAACTGAAAACTTGTGCTTGGAGCTGATTCATCCTTTCCCGTTTTGCCACATGCAACATGATGGACTGTCATGGAATAACATGAAAGTGCGTTACCAACTACTCCGCAGTTCTACAACTTAGAGTGAGGCAATTCCAGTGAAAAAAGGCATATTTCTGCAGAGTGAAGCTATATTTCAAACATACACACACAATGCTTTCATATGCGTTTGTAACACACAATCTACTATCTCAATATAATCTTGTCGGCCTCCATTTCACACGCTACAGGAGTCAAATCTGCAAAGGCCTTGCTTGTGAAGTTGCCACTTTCCAGGATGGCCCACGTTGTCCACGCGGGCATAGATAGCTATTCCCGTAGTGGCAGTGTTCTGATGACAACCACGCCCAGCTTTGGAAAATGAAGATGTTTTAGTTGAACGTTGGGTCCACTTATAAAGCCATGTTCAACTACAAGAAGGGCTTCTGCATTAATATTGCCCAGATTGAACTCGTAAATCAATTTAGGGTAGAAAAGAGCACTGGGAGCGTTCAACTCCTAAAATGAATAAAATCAGTTCATAAATGGCGTACGAGATATTTGAAAGAAGCATTAAGGCATCATTTGAGAGGATTTACCTTTGCGGAGTACTTAGCAGTCACCGAGGAGAATGTAAGGGAGCATTTGATATCACCAACGATACATTGGCCGTCGGCTTTCAGAAACCAACAGACTTCAATCGTCGTTGGAGTGTGGATTGTCATTTCGAAAGACGTAATAAATTTCTGTTCGAAGGTAGCCTCGGATTTCAGAGAATGCAGGGAATGCAGAAGACGTTTAGCAAATGCATGAATCGTGTATGCAGTTGGACACAGTAGTTCACTGGGCTGGGCTAGATAATCAAAATAGTATGTTCGTTAAATACAGCGAAGGCAAAAGAGGAAACAAATAGAATACTAATTCTGTAGGAAATTTTTTCCGAAGACTGCGAATAAACTGAATTGATCCTTTGAATAATATAACACGTACAAATCCATTTATTGGCATGAAAACCATGAGTGTCCAGCTAACTTACTAGTTTTGATGTGGCATGCATTGCTGAATATGAAAAACAGTAGCACAGTCGGCTGCAAGAGCTTGGGAATTTGTAGCCTCTTGCTTTCACGGAATTGAGTCTTCAGCGCCATTGACAGTTCAGGGGGGGGGGTAAGAGTGTGGTAGAATAACTGGCATGCGATAAGTATGAACTAGGCTTCACAATATTGATATAAAGCATTGTGTTACGCCAATCAAATGCCTATCGTCCCGTAACTTGGCCTCACTTGTTCCATATTCCATCCAACGTGACCTATATTTTCAATTAGATTAACAACACCCAAAGGTAGCCAAGACCAGACAGGACGAATTAGAAGAAAAGAGTATGCGCTCTAGATGTCCTGACCTCCTGGGGAAAGATTACTTGACACTTGACAGCTAGTCGATACCTGTGACCCACTGGATTAGATATTCAATAACAAAGTCGTACGTTTTATACTCTAGTTACTTGCAACCAAAGTCAACCATCTAGCGATATGATAACTCAGTGAAATTCGATAAAGTTTTGCCAGGAGTGTTTCAGAACAACACCCATCTTCACTCTCGCTTCATGCAGTGTATCGGCAAAGAGCATATTGGTGAAAAAATATGAATATTTTTCTGCCTGAACTATAATGTGCACGCAAACGTTCATAATCATCGTTTTGTTTGCCATGCTTTGGATTCGTTTGGGCACATACCGTGTCCACCTGTGCGTAGAATCTTGACATTGGTCAAATTTATTTGGAAAGTGTTAACCAATTATCTCTCAGTTACTTCATCATGCATTCTGTGCAGATTTTCATAGTTTTCGAAGTTGTTTCCGTGAATCGTGCCTTTGCAGATGGTCAAATAATACTTCATTTGCAGCATAACATATTATTACTTGTGCGTGGTCGAGACTCCACACTGGTCCCTGTGGGAAGGGAGAGGGCAGATCCCATGTTTCGGAGTCAGTGGGCGGATAATACGACCCGAGTTTGTTTAAATTCACGGTTCATAGTGAGCCTGGTATCTCAGTGGTAGAGCGTTAGCTGTGCAAAATCCTTCCCTGCTGTTTGGATTCGACTGCCATCGGGGCTGCGAGTTTTTTTTACAATTAAGTCAACTGCATATTTTAGGAACTGGTAGGTCTGTGTTGGCTATAACCTTTTATTTCTAACCGAAACCTTTAACGTTTTCGCACAAACTACATGGAAGACTGTTGTTGGCTATCGTGAAAATAGTATAGCCAAATATGCTACGGCTCTGCAAACCAACATGATACTATTTCAGTGAAAAGAAGTCATACTTCTGCATAGTGGGGCTTTATTCCAAACTTACACACACACTATAGACTTTATAGTTTGATTTTCCTGACAAACTGACTTTAGATTGTACAGGCTATAGGAGACAATTTTGCAAAAGCCTTCCTTATGAAGTTGGCATTTTCCAGTATTGCCCATGTTGTCCACGCGGGCAAAGAAAGATATTCCTGAAGTTGTAGGCTTCGGAAAATAACTATATGCAAGTCCGGAAAAGTTAGGTTTTCCAGACGAATGCTTGGCGCCGACCAATACGCAACTGTTATCATAACAAGAGCATCGGCAGAAATTGCCGTCAGGTTGAACTCTTAAGGTGGTAATGGTGTTGTTCGTGCAATGGAGGACGGAAAATCCCTATAAGTTAGGGAGATTTTCGAGGGCTAAAACAAAAACAACATTATTTCCAAAAGTAATGCCTTTAAAGGTGAGAAGAAAACGCTTGAATTATCAAACAGCACATACCTCCGCTGAAATCCTAATAGAAATCCCTGAAAGGTCATTAGGTACCCAACAGCCATGCACTACTGCGGGAGTGCGGAATCTCATTTCGAAAGATATACGCAGGCCGCGTTCAAATAAGGTTTTAGATTTCAAGGAACGCATGGAGTCCAGCAGAATTTGCAAAACTCCATTTGGGCACCGTTTGATCGGCTGTTGAGCTATGTTGTCAAAATAATTTGCTCGTTATATTCGTAATGCCGCAAAAGAGGCTATCAGCATAGTATGAATGCTAAAACAAATTTACGCAAGCAAAAGCGAATTCTCAAATCCACCCGTGTCAAGTTAATTGGTCTTTCGAATACTCTTACAATGGAAAACTACTTCTTGGAATAAAAAATGATCATAATGTAGAGAACTTACCGTTTTTGATGACCCATGCATTGCTTAATAGCAAGCACAATAACACGGCTGGCATCTGGAGCTTGTGCATTTGTGGCGTGCTGCTTTTACAGAATGGACTCCACAACGAACTTCTAGGTTTAGATTGAACTTTAGAATGTGGTAAAGCAACCAGCCTGCGAGAAAAAGTACCCAGACCTATATATATATACATATATATATAACATTTTGATCAGCCAATCAAGTGCTTACTGATCGGTTACGTGACCCATTTTTCTCCAACTTCTATTCAAAACTACCCACATTTTCAGTCGAGTTAAAAGAAATATCCGAAGCTAGACCAGGTCACGCCGTGTTCTGGGCTGTTCACAAAATGCTAGACAGCAATGTGTGCCCTACGCGTTCTGAACTTTGGGGAGTAATTCCTTCACACGCGGTGGCGACCAGGTATGTGTGGTTTGTAGGCTCAGTCGTACGCCGCTGTCTTCTAAAAATATTGTAATTCTTGGATCAAATTTGACTTATTTCTATCACCATCCTGCACGCACATATATCACATTGCCACAGTACTTGCCGTTAGCTTGTTACACTGGCAATCGATTGAATTTGGCCAGGGCACGATCTTGACACCTGTTGGCTACCAGGTGTTTATGGCCTGCAGGTTCGGTTATACGGCCCTTTCTTTTTCACAATCGCAATTCTCAGTTTAAATTGGAACACGTTCACTTTTCTGCTGAACAATAGGTTCTTGTCATAAATGTTCCCATAGTTCAGCGTCCAAGCAGGCCTTACTATAGAGTATGCTGAAGAAGTCGTTCCGGGTCTCGTCGAATGTTGCGGCTCATTTGACGACACCCGGCCACACATTCAAATTTGATGAGGCCGAAATTCTCGCAAGGTGTGACAATCGGTTGAGCCGAGAATTACTTTAGTCATGGTTCATGAGCCCCCAAGTGCAGCGATTTGCCCAATCCATATTCGGTGCTAAGAGTGAAGTTGGCCAGAGCTACTTGGGGAACGGACAGGCCAACACGTTAACCTACGCCAACACCGGACGGTCACATGTTCGAGAAATCATCACGTCCAATTTCACCACGTATGAAGAAATTGCAGCAGAGCAGAGCCCGCGTGCCGCTCAACAAAATATCAACGCGCACGAAGGCAATTACGGTTAATTGTCATTGTATATTTGCAGTAATGACTGAATCCTATAAATACTGCAAACTCCTGTGCGCACGCTACCCGTATCTGCTTCTGCTCTCTGATTATGTCTGTGATAACGAATCCGCGACGGATCTGGAAACGTCAGGCAAATAAAAGTATTGTCCTAGAGCTTAAGTCGTCTTCTCAAAAAATAGTAAATTCGGCTAAGCATAACCTCCGAAAATCGGTCCATACTGCATGGAAATGTAAGAAGTGAACACCAGGCGATGGCACCCCGCCACTCTACTGTCTATATGACCACATTCTATACACATATGTGAATCATAGTGCCATGTCGCCCAGACGTGTACTTGACCGATCTTCAGCCACTATATCGTAGATGTGGTCTGAAATATATTTTAATTTCGATAATATTGATTAAGAAATGTTGTAATATTAGTGATGTTTCACCTTATCTCGAAATACATTGGTCAGTACAGGCTACCGGCATTTTAAACACAAACTCACAAATATGCCTTGGAAAACACGCTCGATAATATTTTAAAAATCTTTTATTGCACCTTCTCCTCTGCGAATTTCTGAAGATGCGCAGAAGACAGATTGCCTAATTCATGAAATCTGAAGACCTTATTTCGGGAGTGGGGGGTGGAGATGGTTTATTACATAGTTGAGGTTGTTTATTTTGCTCGCTGCACGGACTTGTAGTGTAGAAATTCTGCACACTAGAAAACGATTCAATTCAGATGAATGCGTTAAAGGAAAATGTTGGGCAAAATGGGTTATATGGGACTATGGGATAGAGTTCTGGTTTGAGTCCCAGATTAGCACGCGAAAGCCCCATCCTTCTGTAAAAGAGAACCGGGTGAAATACAGAGTAAACGATCTTAGCAATACAAAAGAAAGGCGATAGAAATAAAACATATGTTTATACAGGTAGAAAAACCGGAATAATTGTTTAGATGTCGTAATATTTGTCAAGAAAACAGCGCACCGTAATTAAAATTTCCAATTCTGCAAATATTGGGAAATAACTAAATTAAGAAATAAATGCCCGAAAATAAAATCAACCAACTAAAAAGACAAACTAAAGCAAGATAAACTGATTTCACTTATAACATCTACTTAAAGTAAAATAAAAGTTGCAAACATAGTAATGAACTGAAAGCTGTTATAAAAACCGGAAATATCTATAAATAAGTTAAATAAACCAAACAAAATAGACTAACGTAACGTTGTGAAGCATGTCAATAGCAGATGAGCACGGCGCTTCGTGCCGCGAACTATACTACTCTAAGTCTTAAACGGTAGGTTGGACCTCAGGTCATTTGAAGTAGACGACCTCCTAATCACCAACTGTTTTTCAGGAATATCAAGAAACCCAATAAACTATAAAGTAAAAGTAAATAAAAAACAAGTTGAAGCTCGCAGCGGATATTGTCGAAATCGACGTTCGGACTATCAGGTGCCCGTCCACCGTATACTGGAGGCGGCTATATGGTAAATCTTTACAGATATTAATTTCTGAAGGAATTATAAAACTGGAGCATCTAGCAGAAAGCACACAGGGAATGCTGGCAGACCGACTGATGAGCCAAATCCATCGTCGAAACAGCTACAACTGAGATTTTAGCTAGAACCTCTGCTGCCGGTTCAAAAAATTTATATAGGTTATACTACGGACTGCCTGTTTCCAGCTTGTGAGTATCACAAGATGGAAATTTTCAAATCAGATTTAGGTCTGCACCTATAAGCCCTCGAATTAAGGAAAGTTAGGAATCAATTTCTGAGGCTGTTGGGCTCTTATA